AATGATGATGATGATGATGATGATGATGATGATGATGATGATGATGATGATGATGATGATGATGATGATGATGATGATGATGATGGTGGTGGTAATGATGATGATGGTGATGATGCTGATGATAATATTAATCTGATGTGATAATGGTTACTATTCTAAAAAGGATGATAATGGCTGTCAAATTAATATGAGTAGCTATCCCGATTATTCATATTATTTACAGAATGTACAAGCGTTTAACGGCGGCCAGAGAGTACCAGTCTACTGCTGCTGTTGTTATAACTGTTTCTGTTGTTGTTGTTGTTGTTGCTGCTGCTGCTGTTTTTGTTGTCGTCGTTGTTGTTGGTGTTGTCGTTGTTGTTGCTGCTGTTGTTGTTGATACTGTTGTTGGTGTTGTCGTCTTTGTTGTTGTTGTTGTTGTTGTTGTTGTTGTTGTTGTTGTTGTTGTTGTTACACCACTGAATCCTCGGGTTCCGCAGGCACGTCGCACACTTCCACGATGACGGTGTCGGTGTCGGTGTCGGTGTCGGCGGCCGTGGGCATAGACGGAGGGTGCACAATGTTCACAGGAGATGGGGTCACATCTTCTGCTTCTGAAATAGATTTTGAATACATGAACCAAAAACTGTACATATATAACAATAACAACAATATCAATTATAATAACAGTAATAAAAATAATAATCTTATTATAATGGAGCTAAGCCCGTTTGTGGGGCCAGTATACATTTTTACTCAAATCTCATACAATCTACAAAAATACGATTCATTCAAGAATTGTCACAAAGGGTTACGTAGGCATATTTTCAAAATTCGAAAACGAACTTTTGATTAATCAGGTTTGATGATTTTTCCTGTAAATCGAAGCTGTCGGATGTTTTCACTCTGCCATTAGCCATTTCATATTTTATTGGGGACTACTTCCGTTTCGGTTCGTGCTTCGTCATGTGTGTGAGACAGCTGCTTCAACTATTTCCAGATCTGTAAAACCCTCTACTACTCACTACCATTTCCAGATCTCGAATCTCGATATCCAACTCTGTTTGGATGTGTGCTTCACAGTGTCGATGGTTACTTCAGACCAAACTTCATTGTATTGACTTTTTCTAGATACATTTGGTGCAGTCATGTCCCCAACACGTTGAGTTCGTTTAGGCCCGCAAAATATTACATCGTTGTATTGACGTTTTCAAAATTATGGTTCGTATTTGGTGCGTAGTTTCTTAGAGCAAGACTCTAGATATGTTATCTAGATCTCTCTATATCCCAGATGTATAATTTGGGGTACAGAATTCAAGACTAATTTGGAGTAGTTTACAAGAACAAAAGTGCCGTTTGTGCTTTGTGACTTAAGGGTCATGGGTTTGAACCCTGCCATAGTGCCGAAATTGTGTCCTTGGTAGAGGTATGTTGTATGACTTTTCCTCACTTCATCGACGTGGGAATGGATAAGCTACCGGCGGTAGGCGGGAAAGATGTCTTGTAATAATCATACTATAATAAAAAGTGGGTGCCACAGTTCTGCCCACAAAGGCTTTTTTCTGTGACAATACTAAGCGTTTTGGAAAAATAGACATTACACAAACGTTAGCCACTTGTCCCGCGTAGGGCTATTTTAGAAGCTAGATAAGTGCTGTGTAATTAAATCAGTTTCTGAAATAATTATCACAATGCCGTCGAAACCTGCATTTCTGCTATAATGGGACCGGAAGACGTGTTTTTGATTACTTCACATTTGATTATCTATGAAATCCATGTTTTGCATGCCGGGGACCCGGATGTTTTTAGATCTATCGAAACCTATTTGAAAGTGAAGACGGAATGTGAACTAGAGAGTGTCTGTCTTTCCTTAGTCCTACAGTTTGATATGTGCTCAACAAAGGAGTTGTAAGCCTGTTCTCTCGCCAGTCTGGGAAGATCTAGATCTATACATTTAGCCTATACACAAATTGCGCAGTACACAAGAAGCAAAAGGTAAACCACCTAGTTTACGCTACTTCTCCGTTCGTAGAACGGGTATTTTGCTAGTAATAATAATAATAATAATAA